GGCAACACACTTCTTCCTCCGCTGCACCTCATTGAATGGCATCGCTGCGATCGCAAGCGCTGACTTTCATCAAGCCCTGTCAGTTCCCTCAACTGTCATCGCTTTCCTTTATCCAGTTGCATTCTTTCAACTGTTAACAATGCCTTTTCCATCTCAAAAAACTTGCGCTGGCCCGTGGATCCATCGCACAATCAAGTCTATTGATTGTGCGACAATTCAGTAAGTCATCTTCCCACTCCTCTTCCCATCTCACGAGCTTCTGCTATCATCAGCTAATTCGCTCCCTCTTACAGTGAAAACCTGAACCCAAGTGTCCTTCCTCTCAAGAATTCCCACAAATCCCACTGCATCTGAGCCCAGAATTTGGTCAATCCGGCCATCGAGCAGATGGGTTGAGGTTCTCACCCTGATGCTAGAGCATGAGACGTCGTCGTCGCCGCGCCGATGCGAGTCATCATTTACTTTCCCCCTGACACCGACCGACCGGTTTGGACCCGCCTGCCCCGCCGATCCCGACTCTCCGGGTGCACTCCGCCCCTGCCATTGCCGTCGACGACACACACAATCGTTTACTTTGTCCCGTTTCGCTCCCTAGCAGCCGGCCCTACATACACATGCAGATTCTCACACATGATCAAGATGCGCCATCGCACACACCTCACATACATACACACGCACACACACCCCTGCCTACACATAGCACTCTCTTTTGGGTTCCAATGATGATCAAAACCACCTGGTCGCTTTGAGAAGGCATGGTCACCTCTCACTAAGCGCACCAAGGGCAACTGTCCATGAGTACTGCAGCTTGAAGGCCTGGCTATCCTTCCTGCAAGTACTACTCTAAGGACAAGTTGAATGTCACCCTGAGAAGCAGTGTTCCTGGACATAGATGCTTCATGATGACAAGAGCTTAGCTCTCATCCTTACCTTGTGTTGCCTAACCGTTCCCTAGGTTCGGCCAGGCGCACTTGGATAAGATCCATTCTGAGGAACCCTGACCTTTTCCTTCTGTTCATTTCTTTTCATATTGTCCGCCCTTCGCCCTGCTTGTCTGTCTCCCTCTCTTCGGTTCTGTTCTTCCGTCTGTCAGTCGCCTCTCACTTCCGCAATTTGTATACCCTTCCACCCATTTCCGCTTCCCGGCTTGTATTCTCTTGGGAATTCTGCTTTTTTTTCCCCAGTTCATCAGATCTATTCTTACTATGGCTATCTTGTTGCTATTTATTCTGCACTTACATCCCCCGTTCCACCGTCCTTTCCAAACGCACTCGTCGCCCCTGTCTTCCACATCTCTGTCTCGCCAGCACTTTCCCCTTGCCGCTTTTCCTACGACGCGCTGGACAGCTCCAATGATGAAAACGCTTGTGCAGCCTGGGAGAGGCTGGTCACCCTCCAAATGGCTTGCGAGCAGTCTCAACCCGGTTCAACTGCTGGAAGACTGGTCGCCCCCAGCAGCTGCCAGAGGTTGCAGACGAAACTGAGGAGCGCTAGTCATGATGACTAACAGCCTGTCATACGCCATTTGACTTTGATGCCTTCTACTGTTTTTTCCTCTCCCGTTTGCCTTTCGTGTCTTCCTTCCCTTTCTTCTTCCTGTCAATGATGTCCTCCCCAATGATGAAAACGCTTGTACAGCTAGGGAGAGGCTGGTCACCCTTCAAATGGCTTGCAGGCAGTCTCAGCCCGGTTGAGCTGCTAGAGGCTTGGTCACCCTAGCGGCTGCCAGAGGTTGTAGACGAAACTGAGGGGCGTTAGTCATGCTTACTATCTGCCTATCATACAATTTTGAGTTTGATCTCTTTTCTAGTCTCTCCTTTTTACCTTTTATACCTTTCTTCCTCTTTCCTCCCTTCAATGATAATACCCCCAACGATGAAACCGCTTGCGGAGCGGGAGAGGCTGGTCACCTCCAGAAGCTTGCAAGCAGTCTCAAACCCGGTTGAGCTGCTGGAGGCTGGCCACCCCAGCAGCTGCCAGAGGTTGAAGACGAAACTGAGGGGATGAAACTACTTCAATCTGTCATACACATTCTGAGTTCTATTCCTTTTTGGTTTCTTCCCCTATTTTGCCTTTTGTATCTCTGTTTCCCTGTTCTTTACTGATGATATATCCAATGATGAGTGCGCTTGAACAGCCAGCGAGAGCGGGACTCATCACACTCTGGGAGCCTCCACACTCTCAGAGGAGCCTGTCCCTCCTGGACTTGTCAGCGGGTCTCAGCCCAGCCTCCCCGTTTGAGGCTGGTCACCCGGACGGCGGCTAGAGGCTGCAGACAAACTGAGGAGACTCAAAGCATTGTCACCATCACCGGTCTCCCTACGGAGGTTCACCTATCTACATTTGCTTTCCCTGTTTTCTCTGTGTCCCTGATGAGCTGAGAAACTCATAACCTCATTGTCAGCACTCCCTTCATATTGATTTAGTTCTTTTCATTTCTTCATCTCTTCTGTAACCCTGATGGGGTCTCCAATGATCAAAAAGTGAACTGAGGGGAAGGCTGGTCACCTTCCACCCATCACGAGCAGTCACATCCCCGGATGACAGCGAGGTGCTCCAGGGTCTGGTCAGCCCTAGTTAGGAAGCTCTCGTCGGATGTTGACATCTGAGGAGAATACAATCCTTGTCCCGTGGTTCTTACTGCGTTTTTCTGTCCACATCTTCTCCTCTACTCCCTCTTCTTTCCCTTGTTCTTCTGATTATTTATCATTCTTGTCTTTACCAGTCCTTGCTTTTCTTATATAATATACAAGAACCCCAATGATGAAAATGCCTTGTGAAGTGGGGAAAGGCTGGTCACCTTCAACACTTACAAGCGGTCACATCGCCGAATGGCAGCGAAGAAGCTCCAGGAGCCTGGTCAGCCCTAGAGAGCTCTCGTAAGATGATGACATCTGAGGGGACTTGCCATTTATCCGATATATGTTGCTGTTTACATTTCTGTCATCTTATCCCCCCATCTTCCCCCTGTATTCTTGTTCTTGTACAAAACCTCCAATGATGAAAACACCTCAAATGGGTAGCTGGGAAAGGCTGGTCACCTGCCCGGCTCCCAAGCAGTCGCATCGCCGAACGGCAGCGGGTAGTGCTCCAGGGTCTGGTCGGCCCTCGAGAGCCCTCGCAGGATGCTGACAATCTGAGGGGGGCAGCTTGAAAATGTTCACCGGACGTTCTTCCCTTATATACTCCCTATCACTTTTGTATCTTTCCTCTCTCTGCACACAGAATCACACTGATCGATAAATGTCATCTGCTTTCTCTTCTTGTCTAGGTTGTCTCTATTCCCTCCCTAACTCTTCGCAAAAAACCTCCAATGATGATGAGCCTATATTGTGGGGACAAGTGATCAATGGTCACATTCCTTTTCCGCCTCCAAGGCGGTCCGACTTCTGTGTTCCAAGGGGCCTGGTCACCCCTAGAACAACCAGAAGCTGTAGCAACTGAGGAGGGGAGCCTTTCTTGTTTCATGTCTTCCAATGCCTGTCTTGCTCACACCCTCTCTCTCTTGTCTCGTGTATCATTCTACTTATGTATCTTGGCCCTGCAGCCCAACCGAAGCCTTCTTCCCTACTCTCCCTTCTCCCTCTCCTTGCCCTGGCTCCTATGATGAACTACTCTGTGCCCGCTAGGACTGAATGCAGACTAGTTCTGCACAGGCAGGTGTGCATGATTCTCTTAGGGGCCGAGTGACTCCGATGAGGAGAATAATCGTCATTCACCTGGGACTCGACGTGGGGCTAGCGTTGTGAGAACCCTTCCCACCGCCGTTCCACGGGAGTCCGAGGGTTTTACACTGAGGCGGACAAGTCTTTTGCAGAATTGCTTCAATCTTTCCATGTCATGTATCCCACATTTGTCATGTCTTTCCTTTCAGCTCCGCTTCTACACTATCTTCGCTCTAAACACACTGTTGGCTTTTTTGGCTTGGCCTTGGGGGAAGCACTGTTTTGCTTGGACAGGCCGATGATGACGGGCGTACAACTCTTGAGCGGGTTCTGCTGGAGCTGCCCATCGATTGCACATCACAATCTGAGGCCACAGAAGGGACAGGCGTTGCGCGTACCAGGATTGAAGCGCACTACGGGCTGGGTTGAGGATGCTCTGTGGGTTGCAACGCTTGGAAAGGCCAATGATGACTTTCAGAGCACCTTGGTCTCGAGGGTGCCGCCGGAACGGCTTACCACGCACTACAGTCTGAGGCTCCTAGAGATGTTCCATTTGATAGACCTGGGGTACGATTTGAGGGCCAATGCCGTCACGTCAACATGAAAGATGCTGGGTTTCCGCTCGCATTTCAATGCCAAACTGAGGGGGACGCAACCCAACTATGTCCAGGACGAGCCCCGGCACGTCATTTCGGTGGCGTGACAAGAGGCCGTTGGTATTACGGCTGCTAGAGTAGCACAAGCCAAGCTGCCTTCATGTATCATAGCTGTTGGCTTGTTTCATGCAAGCACGACCTATTTGTCGTTATATTCGCATGCTGTGTACGATTGGAGGTTGGCCCGGTGGGCTTGTCGAGTGTCTTGAGACTACGGCAAGGCTGGACTGTTGTTACAGCCTTGCCAAAACGAAACAAGTCGGCATCTATCGGTTCAGAAAGAAGCGACATTCGCTTGACCTTGAGACCTTGAGCTGGGCGAACCGGGAATAATAGGGCGCCGTCTGACGCTCACAAACGGAGCCATGGCGCATATAGACAGATCGAATTCAGGATTTGGCGTCTCATAGGACGCGAGGCTGGTCCAAGCAAAAATACAGAGTCGACAGCCCAACAAACAGTGTTCTGACATTCTCTACATGTTCAGCCTCGTCAAGCGGCCGCTTCCGCTGCGTCAAAACCTGATCAACCAACCGACCATTGACCGACCGCCTTGAATGTAACTGGAACAACCGATACCTTCTGACATAAGCACTCCTGAGACAACACGGTCAACCAACCTGTCTACAATGTCGGCAGACGGAAGAAGATCATGAATGTAGCGGCATCTAAGTTGAGGCCGCCTGGAGGAAAAAGTGCTGACTATGACCCAGTAGACGGAGATGAGTCACGAAAAGGGAGAGGGGCTCAAGGGGGAAAGGAAGGAAAACGACTTGACAATGCCGATGTGAAGGGCTAGCGACCTATCAGCCGAGAAGACATCCCCTGAACAGCTGAATGCAAATTGCCGCCACATGAATGAGGCAAGACATGCAAAATCTCTGAGCCAGTTCCACCTTCACGCTGAGGATATGCCGGTAGATGCTCAAGCTGGCGCGGACCGACGATGATGGTGCTACCATACCGGAAATCTTGATTCGACGCCTTGACAATGAGCTTCGTCCCACGGGATCATGTGACGGGTTCCCTCAGTAAAGGTGAAACAGGTCGTCCTCTCAAGACGGTCGAGCGCTGACGGCGAAACATCGCGCTCAAGAGACGCAAGAGAGCATCACAGTGCTTCGATACGGTGTCGCGTTTGAGCCAGTAACCAAGCGTTTCGATGGAAACTTCAAGCAATCAGCGGTACCCTAGGAGGCGTGGGAATATCACGCTCGATGAGCCGGCCGGACTCAGTCATAGAAGTAAGCGGGCGCCACGCGAAGGCTCCCTCCAACCAGTTGCAAAAGCGACTTCTCGGTCGACTGTAAAGTGAGGCTGTTCACCCACGGCTGGAGGAATAGAAAATAAACGTCATAGTTGAACTGGAATGACAATGAAAGAGCAAAAAGTGGCGGCAGGCTTCTGGGGATGGCAACGATGATAATAGGGGTAAGGCAACCTAATACGCGGCCCAAGCGACCTACTGTAGCAATGCACGCGCACGTCGACGACCAATCTACGGGGCAGTGAGGCAACATAGCCGGAGGCCTGCGCCAGATCAAGGGGGCGGAAGGAAACACGGGCATCAAGGGTGCTGCAGGAACCAGTCAAGCTCCATCGCCGTTGGGTCGCAAAAGGGAGCAGGACGGCGCTGACTGGTCCGTGGGCTTCATGGAACTTTCCAAGCCGTCACAGCTGCTGCCTGGCTCAGTGCAAAGCCACGAAAAAGATCCCCCATAGACAGACCCAGTAACATTATTATGGTTCCGCTTGAGACGATGCCCGGGTATCACAGTGTAGAGCTTTCGGTAATGGAAATGGGGGGTTGCCTCAGGTGGCAAATGTCTAACGAATCGCGGTAACAAGTCACAGTCCAAGAACGTCAAGGACCAACTGGGTAGCGCGTGGATGTCTTCACAACCGCATTCGTAAGCCACACGGGAGGCGTGTGAGTCATGGCGGGTCAACTGCTGGTGCAAGGAATGCTGTGCTCCATCGCGCTGGGCTGGCTAATACCGGTCGCCGCCAATATCATTGTCGCTGTCGGCGCCGAGATTTTCAGTTGCTGAGCATCAAAATACATAGTGAACCCAAGACGACTGTACAGCCTTGGGGACGGCAAGATGGAATATGAACAACGCGAATCAACAACGGAGGCAGCAGCTCGAAGATAGGGGACAAAGCCTGTCCCCGGTGACCTTATGACCACCTCAAACACGGCGATTGTTCTCTGCGGTGACGCCTCTGGGGTGCGCCAAAGCTAGGAGACGGCAAGGTGGAGGACTGTTCTGGACTTGGCCACGGCATATTGCGGCTTGAGGAGCATTAACCCGAAAACGACCGGAACTGCGATTCGAAAGGGGGGAGCCGTTGATACGTTACACGACAGGATGATCGGTGACATATGACATATGCTGGCGAGGGCGGTAAGGATTGGATCAACATCTTGCGGATTGCTGTACTGGTCGAATACCCAATCTAATGGATATAGTGTGGTTGGGAAGGGGAGGAAAAAAAGGGAAGGGGATGAATTGGGCGACCTGATGATTGATAATGCCTGATTTGTGGGTCGAAGTTGGAAGAAGCTGGTGGACCGTGCGCGGGTGTGCAGCCCAACGTCTAAAGCCACATGGGCAGATCGATGAGCGTTGGGATGGATGGGTGGACCGTGCTTGCCACTCGCGCTACGCTAAGGTCAGTTACGTCAGCGACGATCGGGCCCCTGGAAAGTCCGGATTTCCGGATTGCGAATCAGGAGAGCTGCCGAAAATTTACCTAGCATGCGGGTCCCGACTCCCGAGGCAATCCGGGGGTAGCGTGTGGCGCTCTCAGATGAGGAAGCTGTCAGATAAGCCACGATGTGGCTTTGTAGGTACAATGTACAGGACCTGAAGGTGGTCCCAGACTTTCGGGACAAGGCCCCTCCGACCCGAGTCCACGGAGCTTCCGAACCGAGCGTAAGGCGGATCCGGGCCCACCTAGCCCAACCCGGTTCCTCTCGCCTCGAATTGCGGTCTTGGCGCCACGATGTCGGTGATAAGGACCGCTGCCGATGATGCATTTTGGTTTCTGGATGCATGGCGGGATGGCTCGCTGCTACATTGCGCTAGCAATCTTGATTAACCCAAAATGCAAACGTATCCTTGAAACCTGCTGGGTTGGGCAATTGATGCCAGGCGCACTTTCCCTTCAAATCTTCCCATTGTCCAGCTGCAAGGCCTCCCGCAGTTGCCGACTAACGGCTGGGCCGATTGGGCTCAACATCAGTCAAGGTCCTAGTGGAGATACCGAAGCACAGGAGTTGCAGTGGCTCGGGCAGAGCAGGCTGACACTTTCTGCATTTCGTTCCATCAATGTATTCTTTTTGCTCGGAGCTACGCTCTGCTATCAATAGGCCACCTCCGTCACCGTGAGGACTCCGGCTTGCACTTTTCAGGTTTGCACATTGGGCGCGTGCATCGACATGTCTGACTCCAACAAAGCTTGGCAGGGGGAGAGCAAGGGCAAGTGTGATCCCACCAGGTAAACACCAGGTGAACCATTTCCCATCGGCAAAGATGAGTAACTAACGTTATACTATCACACTGACAAGCATCTTCGTAGCAAAAAGCGGCTGCGAACACTGGACCGCTTGCTAACATTAGGTATTCCAGTGTGGGATGGCTGTGGGAGAGTGCAGGCGGATACGGAAACTCGATAGGAGAGCCCAATGCGATAACCTACCGAGCCTACGGAGGTACTGTACAAGTGGATGTTCATCTCCACCACGCATGCGCCTCGGTATCGTCTACACAGTAATGTTATTTGTTTGGGTTGCCCCTCTTTGGCCCCAGGCGATCCAGGCCCCAGCCGTCGTCACCCTCCGCCAAATCCTCTGTTAACGTTATCTCTTTCTCACCTTGGAGCATCACGAGCCGGTTGGGGTTTCAACCGGTTCATCCTGCTGGATCATCCCAATCCTCCTGCTTCCGGCAAGCGATAGTTTGGCCGTTCGTCGTTCTTCTCTCATCTTCCGCAATCGCTCGCCAGGCGACCGGTATTGGACAGAGATATCGCCAGACATCGCAATTTTTCGGATTTTGTGGGCTTAACGCTACGTCAGAGGGTCTTGTCCAGGGTTTCGACGTATGAGATGCTGCCACCCGGCTTGTCGCACCCCCTCCTAGCATGAGGGCCTGCACCAAGCCATGCATGACCGGCGGTTCCATAAGGCTTGGAAGTGTCGGTGAGGGCCAAAATAGGAGTGAGGTCGGCGGACTACATCCCATATCCGCCTCGAAAGTTGCCTATTTTTGACGGCGACGAGAGGGGTTGCCCGGCAGCTGTCCCATTCACCTTGCCCGGTGGATCGTCGGCGAAAGGGTCGAATGGCACGCTTGCCCGACGAGTCCAATTGGGAACCCGAGACTCTGCATGCAGATTCCACCAGGCTAAGCGCGGATTGGCCATTCAGGTGGCCTGGACGAAACAGCCTGCTGATATTGGACATCAACGCAGCAGATGGGAGCCCAGGGAGCCATTAGGGCACCAAAACATACGCAGAGCGAACATTGTACATGACACTCCCCTCGTGTGTGAGTCACGGCCCCCATATGGACAGAGGAAGTTCTCAACGAAAAATCCAGTCTGCTTAGAAAATTCCGTGGCTTTTCGAGTGGATTCAAATTCGCATTGAACAAGATGAAAATTTTTTCTCGGGGAGCCAGACACGGACGAAGATCAATCCAAGCGGAATGAATGCGGCGGAACCTAGTGCACTGTCAGGGGCCGAACCGTGAAAAGCCATCGGGAAAGCTAGCAGGGTAGGGGTGATTCCAGAATCCCCCCTTGTTCATAGTACACTAGTGCCCCTGAGAGGTGCTAATGTTATCCGTATTGTACACGTAGAGACCGTATCGCGGTTACAGACTGTTTTGAAGAGAGTTACTGATGGGGAGAATGGTGTGCCCGCTCAGAGAAAAGAATATTCGTACACTAGTAAGGTAGGTAAGCTGTATTGTACATACAGTAGGCCTTCCGTCCAGATCTCCTCATTGATCCACAGCGTACTGTGGTAGGTTTTGATCTTGACACTGCCGAGATCGTCCACAATGCACACCTAAGGTTACGGAGTACCTCTCACCGAAACCCAAAAGCGGACTGGATTCGGTACATGGTATTTTACACGAAAATTACGTAGAGTACAAAGATATGAGAGTCTACCCGGCCGGAATAGCCCCTACGGGCAGACAAGTGAATATCGGAGGTAATTGTCAGTACACTATCCGTACTCCGTACGGAGTGGAAGTGCGGGACTCGGATTCGTCAGAGGGTCCAGCGGCAAGTTGCGGATTTGATAACCCCGCCACATGGAAAGAAACGATGAGGACTATACGGAGTACAGTGTTGCGGGTATTTAAGCCTTCGATCTTTACCCGTTTACGGCCTTGATACCTTGATTCCCCGGCAGTTTTCGCATAGCGCATCGACAGAGGCGGCACCTGGATTGCATTGAGATTGCCCATCTGACTCGGACGAACCGCATTAATAACGACGGGAGCTAGGGCACGGTGGAAAGCAACAAGACTACTGACCCAAATTGAGATGCCAATCCGCGGTTCATTGGCTGGAGATTTGGCTGTTGGCCCTTGCTGAGCGGCCGGCCTGCACATCCATGCAGCCGGGACACGCGAACGCAAACCCCTCCCACAGATGGACGCGAACGCTCCCTGCAGCGCAGATATGTACAGTACCTACAACAGGACAGACATCTGTATTTTATAATGTTATCATCTGCTTTGGGAACTCAAAGAATACTCGTTAGCGGACGTATTCTGTCATTCGTACACAGCCCTATGTGTAGAACTAATCGAGAAGCCCTCAGTACTTACTCCGTGTCTCGTACAGCAGGGCTTTCTCTCTCATACATGAAAACCGCAACCCCACATTTGATGCTTACAGTACGGAGGTACGGATACCTCGGATACCTAACAATACGTGCAGGAGGGGTTTCCTTCAGGTACATACTACGAAAAGCCATCGTCAGCTTGTTGTTGCCTCGCTGCTATCCTCCATCCAAAGGCCGGTCTTTTCATGTACATAGAAATCTCATCGTCAGCTAGGCACGCGTCTTGGTACTCACCTACATTTTCCATATTGTAGAACTCCATTTCGTTGTCGACTTGGAACTCTCAAAGCCACGTGCACGTCGTCGTCCTACTCCTTCCAGTCAACCGAGTCGCCGCTGCACCCGGACTGCGACAAGCCACGACGCTGTTAGCCAAATCCCGAGAATTCCGGTCCGTCATGACAAGAGCAACACGCAACATCTTCCATCTACTAAAGTGGTACGTACTGAATGTACATTCAAATCGCTGGCTTCGGCGCGATATTGCTCCATCCCTGAGAAGAAGGCAAGCTGCCGTGTGCCCGAGATAAGCCAAGGCCTTGTGCTGGGGATAACCAGACTGCTCACGGTCGGCATTGTGGCTTCCCAACCAAGCAAGCCTATCTCCGTGCTCTACTGTACTCCGTACACTGCTTGTTTGATAACTCTCCCAAATCTCTCAACGATCCGTGCGGTGATCGTCGCCAAGTCCCAATGCCCAGGCTCCTCCTTTTGTGAATCGAAAAATTTTCACCGACCGTTGGGCATGCTGAACCGGCCCCCTGCTCCAACCCTCGAGTTTTGTTTAACCACCGCTGTGTGGACCAATTTCGCTTAGCGGATCAGAGGTCTGAGTGGCCTGTTACGAAGTACAGCTACCAGGGACCGCTTCCCGCCTCGCAAATTTGCACCAAGTAGGCGGCCGCCGGATGGTCCATACCAGCAAGTGGAATTAACTACCAGGATGGCCATTGTCGCTCATAGCTGAAGTGGCTACTGCCCAGGGAATTTGGAGGATGTCCGTTTTGAGGGTTACGATAAGTTACAAGGAGTCAAAGGGGGACGCAGAATTGACTGAACTGGACGTTACAAACGGGATTTATTGGCCGACCTGGCTGGTGCTGAGTACGGAGGTACTTTACAGTGCCAGCGGCGTTGACGCGAACGGTGTCACCTTGGGTAGGGGGGTGTCGTTTGCTTCTGCTGTGACTAATATCCCTGCACAGCAGGGGGCTGGGCACGCTTATTTCGTACCGCCACACCCCTCCATCAGCTTCCTTCGAAAATTTGTGACGAAGGAACAGGAGCATCCATTTCCTGGGCAATCGGCCCTGCTCCCCGTGCGCCGTGCACTACCCCGTTCTCTCACCTTGGTCCGTATAAAACCCTTTCCAACCTCCTAAATTCCCGGGTTTTGTCCAGCTTTGGCTTTTCGCCAATACATGTCCTCTTAATAACATTGGAACAACACCAACACAATTTTCACGCGGTTTTTCGACCTGGACCACACGAAAAGTCCAGCAATTTCCAGAAGCCGCATCAAGGTCGCCCTCCGACTTTGGTGCCCGACTGTCTCGCAGGAGATATCAACCTCAGATCCTTGACATGTTTGCAATCAGAAGACGGTTCACCTCTCCTCTTCCTACCGACCACAGACCAAGGTGACGGGTGTCACTTTCTCCCGCGTCACGACACAGGCGCGACACATTGCAGGTTTTGAGCCGATAAGAGAGCCCGGCTTCGCCCCTCACGCGTGCTGAGGGGTAGACGAAAGAGTTATTAGTATCACAGTTTGTTTCGGAGTTGAACCAACATTTGGATGTCTCGGAGGACATCGCAGGAGCCAGACGACATGGCGAACTACTCCCCGTACGGGACCACTCCCGCCCCGGAGTTCTTTTTCGAAGACAAGTTTCCCAGTCCGTCCCCGACGCCATCGCCACGGGGACCGAGTTATTATTTCGGCGCGACTCCGCAGCGGCCCGCGACACGAGCTCACTTCCGCAACGGGAGCACCAGTGGCGTTAACAACTACGCCAGTCCCCGTGGGCCTTCTTTCTCGCCTCGGTACACGAGCGACGGCCAATACGCCACTGCTAATGTGAGTCAATCGCGGTCAACGCGCAAGCAAAGTTTCTCGGGTCAGCGGCCCGGGCGCGAACGTCGCAACTCTTATTCCTACTATCGGTCTCCAGACCCTCATGGGGAATCCGACGTGGACGAGTTTATCGAGTACAACGGCGTCACCTACGTGCTGCTCGCGCGACCGACGTCGAGGCGATTTCCGGATTACTACACTGTCAACGCTGGAGGGCATGGAACTGATTACCACTACTATGCACAGGGCGGTCCTTTCTTCGACAAGGAGGCTGGGTATGCTTCGCCGCGATATGAGCCGGATCGCCGCCCCGCCGTAAGCCATGCTCGCCGCAACTCTACCTCGGTGCCTCAGCGGCCCCAGACCGCCCGCCCTACTACCGTCCACAAGAAGCCGCCTCCGCCGCCGCCTGTCCGCCAGGCAACTGAGGCCGATGCGAGACGGCACAGGATTCCGCCGGGTTATTCTCTGAAGAACTGGGACCCGACCGAGGAACCCATCATGCTCCTTGGCAGTGTCTTCGATGCCAACTCCTTGGGCAAGTGGATCTATGACTGGACTATCTATCATCACGGCCCTGCCACCCCGATCTCCGATATGGCTGGCGAGCTATGGCTGCTCCTGATCCAGCTGGCCGGGAAGATCAAGCGCGCCGAGGAGATCGTCCCCAAGATCCGGACCAAGGACAACAAGGAAATGATTGAGGAGTTTATCGAGGCTGGCGGCCGGATTATGGACAGACTCCGAAAGCTCCTCAAGGCCTGCGAAGCACCCATGCTCCGCTCCAGTACCAAGCAGCGGAAGGATGGTGTCCAGCTGGGCAAGAACGCCGGCGTGGAGTTTGTTGAGACGCTGTTCGGTCGCGAGCGCGAGCTGGAGAAGACCGAAAAGTTTATGAATTCCGTCCGTCTCTGGAACTTCCGCTTCGACACCAACTGCGAGGAGATCCTCAGGAAGCCAACCATGTAGAAGCGCACATCTTGGGAAGTCCCCGATTCCATTTAGTGTTGGCTACATTCTCCGCACCTCGAAACTTTACAAACACGCAAACGAAAACATAAAAAACACACAACGAAACAGGATACAGACGAGCCAACCTGTACAATTAGGTCTCTTTTTGGGGGTTCACATACCGAGGGTTTTTTTCCCTCCCCACTCGCCGAGGCGTTTTATCCCTCGATTCTATTAAAGCAGGAACGTCAGGAGCAATCCCGGGTCAGCATGGTGGCCGTCTTGATTTTTGGGACCTTGTCAGAGATACCCGACGCGTACTGCCGTTTCCGGTACGATGTCACAGCGCTGCTGATGAAGCAAGATGGGCCATACGAACACTTAGCAGCCAACGAAGCTGCCATCCGCCCAGTGGTGTAAAGGAACTCAAAAGTTACTGGTGCTTTTGTTTTTTGGGCTCATGCAGGATTGGTTTTAGATCAGGGTCATGCCGTTTGGGATGGTCTGTCGCGGAGGAAATATTCAGCAGTATTATAGCACGAGAAGGGTTGTTGGAGCGATTGGTTCATCGTCATCCACACCCCTGATTTAATGGCGGTTGTCTCGGGGTCTTGGAGAGAGGATTCGATTGTTTTCTTTGCCTCTTGTCAGTTTGATCAGACGAGGCCCTCGCTGGCCGTGTCAAGCCTCGTTTTTTACAGATGTATAACAGCGCGCTCCGACAATTGCAGCGAGCCGCCCCTTTCCTTTCCTGTTCTCCTGGATTTCGCAGGATGGATATACCCCCTTTGAATTTGAGTTGCACGGACATAGACCAGTGGTAGCAATAAGTGGTGGTGATGGTTACACTCAATATACTTACTACTTTGCCTGATAAAACATTTGTGTTCCTCACCTCCTTTCTCACGGGGCACACAGGGTGTAGAGATGGAGACCAAAAACGATTTTGTAATGGGTAGAAGGTAGTAGAAAACCACAAGTAAAAGGTGACCAGAAAATAACAAAGGATGATGAAATGCCGTCAAAGTTGCAAAGTGTGAGCACGAATTTTTTCCGCCGTAGCCCTAAACCTCTGCCCTAAGGGGATTGCATTTGCATCGGGCATCCGTGCAATGGATGCCACAAGCCTGCAGCTGCCAGCCACATTTTCCCCGTGTCTCATGGAAACCGTCGAACACATCTCCCTTGTTTCGCGTCTGTGCCTCAAAAGCCATGGTAGAAAGACCAGATGAAACAGCCTGGCTAGTACGCCTTTCTGTCTATCAACTGCAGGAGAATCGCGGAGGCAGCTTGCCCTTAAACAGAATCCTGTTTTGACATTTGTGTGTCTGAATTCAGATCGCGCTTTTGAGGGAATGTCACTGAAAGTAATGTAAAATGTATGGTACAATACGGACGTACTGTACATGACAACAAAATCATCCCTTCCGCAGATTGGACAGGGGGTAA